TAGAAACGGTATAGATGATATTCTTGAGCAAATCAAGAAAGAATAAGAGAGAGAGATAGAGATAGAGATAGTGATAAGGAAAGCAAATAGAAAGGAGTAATAATTGTTTAGTAATCACCAAGAGTAAAGTTCAACCAGAAATGGTTTGAACTAAATTGTTGTTCTTGGTGATAAAACGAATAATCCAAGCGTATAATGGAAAATTAAATCCCAAGATCTTTATACATTTTTGTGTTTTGTTTCACGTTATAAGTGTTAAATCTTATTTTCGTTAAAATAGGGGGATATACTGCGAGAGTGATATCTTTTGATATTTTAATATACGAATTAAACGTTCATATTTCGATATAGAATTATATTTCTATAAATTGTTCCTAGAAATAGTAATTAAAAAAAAGGACAAAGTTATAATAAAATGAGGAGGAAGAAGAAGAATAAAAATAATTATAATTCAATCAAATTATTTTCCATCATATATATATAATTGTATATATATATATATATAGTCGTGATATAATATATATCTTTATCCCTTTTATTTTTTAAAACCAACGATAAGATTAATCAATTTTTGGATATAAAATCGAAAAGAATGTCGAGAAACTCTGTGTGATCATCACTATTATTATTATTATTATTATTATTATTATTATTATTATTGAAATCTTTATATTTATATCTATCTAAGGATATATATATATAAATCTATATATTTATATCTATCTTTAATTTTATATAACAAACGTTAATTTATTTCCTCCTTCTTCTTATGTCTTTCAACATTCAATGAAGAAAATCGAATGAAAAAATTTAATACAATAGAAAACGTATTTGTGCGATAAAAGTAAAAAAAAAGAAATAGAAATAAATATAGAAATAGAATGAGATAAAGATAGATAAACACACACAAACACACACACTATTTATTGAAACGAGAAAAGAAACGGTGGCAGTATCATCGTTACTTTGAAAATAGATGCACCTGGTAAATGGTGAAAAGTGTGAGAAAGAAACTGGTGAACAAAGGGGCGGGGCAGGTGGGGGGGGGCTAAGAAAGGAAGAGTTTTAAAGGAAATCAGAAGCACCGACGATAACGTTTCGAAGTGACGAACACTTGAGTGACATAGATCGAAGGAACGCGAACGAGCAACCCTCTGAAACGATCGACCATCTGTCGTGAAGATATTGAAAATAGAACTTGAAGACGATGTGGGTGGGAAGGAGGGGGATGCTTGACTACCATATTTTCCATCCTTATCTTTTTTCTTCTTTCCCCCCTTTCTCTCTCTCTTTCTCTCCTTTTCCTCAATTTCTATTTTTTTTTTTTCATCCAGCTATTTCAGTTGTTATCAAAACCCGATGGTAAAATATTTCGATGAAAATCTTATTCGAGGTACTAGTGCGTTTAATCAGACGCCAACATACATTTATTTGAAAAAGAAAAAGAAGAAAAAAAGTTATTGTATATAGATGAGAAATATATATACAGATCAATGTATAAATACGGATACGTATGATAGATTTTATATTTGCATATGCAAATGTATAATATATATATATATGTACAGGTAAAAATTAGATTCACGTTAATATTTAAGTGATTGTATATAAAATGTCTGATTATATTCGGATTAATTTGTGAATTGTGTGTGTGTGTGTTATTCGTAATAGAGAATTTTTCGTATTTAATTATTTATAATAGATATTTTTCTACATATATAATATATACAAATTACAGATATAAATATATATA